TGCTAATATTCCAGTCGAGCAGATCCGGTCGAGCCCAGCGGAGACTGACCCGAGCCTTTACATCCTCCAGTCCGAGGGTGAGGGGACGCCCATAAAAGCTGCTCCAAACTTGCACGCCAACCAACCCTTACAGAACGAGATGATGTTGGGAACGGAACCTGGAAAGAGAGAGGAGAGATTCCGAGACTCTGGCCTGGGCAGCGGGGGGATAACAGACGGGACAGAGGGATCGGATGGTTATCCCTATGGACAAGAGGAAGAAGACGAGGACAGGAAGAGCAGGCTCGCCGGTACTCCGGACACAGCCGATGAGGAAAGCGTGCTGTCTGTGGACATGCACACCAGCAGTACAAGCCTTTCCTCAGCAGACACAAAGCTCATGGTAGAGGACAGAGAAGAGAGAGAGCCCTCGATTGCGATAGGAGAGCAAGAGAGAGAGAAAGAGATGGATTGTGTGAGCGTCACTGAATCAATGGTGGCCGAGGCTTTGGCCGCTCTGGACGCAGCGACTGCGGGAGAAGATTCGGAGTGATGCACAAGGAGATTTCCATACTCGCTCTCTCGCTCTCTCTCTACATTTGAATACAGGCAAATTATAAAATGGAGCTTTCCCTACAGTCTGTTTGTAGGTACTTTCATTTTCAATGGAAAAAATCGAATGAAGACTTGATAACAGGAACTGCTGCTTGTTTACACAACACAAATTGACTATTTATGAGATGTACTTGAGCAAATGACTGTCATCTGTGCGATTCGGAAAGCATGGACAAACTCCATTCTCAGACCAAACAGAACAGATTGTTGGGTGACATTTTTATTTTATTTTTGTCTTTCTCTGGCATAATAATCAAATAAGCTGTTTCTTTTCGTCAAATATTATTTCAACGTGATGAAAGCCCTCTCCTTCTGTAGCTTCTGTGTGGAGGTCGGGCTAAATCTAAGCACTACATCATTATTTTCATACATTTTCTATACAAAGAAGTGGTGAAAAGCAAATAAGCCAGTGTCCTGGGGTGGGGTTACTTCTGTGCTTATTGTACTTTTAGAAATGTTATATAAACTCAGACTGCTTAATACAGTGAAGTCATGTTCAGTCAACTTAGTCTTGACAGATCGATATGCTATTTCTTGCTTGTTACACTGTGAATATATCATATACCCTCATAGAGCTGTAGGACGACATGTGCTTTATTTGTACAGCAATAAATGGAAGGAGATTGTGGGTGAATCTCATGAAAACAGATTTCAACCTGAAACAACAAAAAGGGAAATTTTATTTTGCATAAAAATGCATATTTATTCGGTTTTAAATTTACACAAAAATACTCTCATAACGCATAAATACTATGCATAATATTTAGAGAACTTTGACAGTGCAGTAAAGAAAATACTTAATTGCCATGCTATGTGACGGTGCAAAGAATCTTAATGGTAAAAAAAGGCTTATTTTATGCAAAATATAATTAAAAAAAAAAATATCTGTTCTTTACAGATTCTGTGGGATTCACCCTTGTATATTTATGTTCATGGTGCACTGTGGACAATTGGGGTTTGAAAACGGCAGTGTGTAGAGCAGATTCAGGCCAGTGATGGTAGTTAATGCTCTACACTCAGGGGTTAAGCACTTAAAGGGGTACTTCACCCAAAAAAGAAACTTCTGTCAGTATTTACTCACCCTCATGTTGTTCCAACCCCGTAAGACCTTCGTTTGTATTCGGAACACAAATTAAGATATTTTTGATGAAATCTGAGAGCTGGATCACTCCTCCATACTAGTCCATAGGCTTCTTGAGGAATTGAAACTTGCCGGCCTGGAAAAGTTATTAAAGACATTGTTAAAATAGTCCAAGTGACTACAGTGGCTCAATCTTAACTTTATCAAGTGACGAGAATACTTTTTGTGCGCAAAAACAAACAAAAATAACGACTTTATTTCAACTATTCACTTAGTCATTTAACGTAATGTGATAGTGTAGAGCTACGTCACACGTAGGCTCACTGTTGGCCGACGCTGGTCACGTGTGTGATGCGTGTGACGTACAACAACAGAAGCTTACACTATTAAACTAGTAACCTGACTCAAGGCCCATAGAGATGGAAATGAATAGTTGAAATAAAGTCTTTATTTTTGTGCACAAAAAGTGTTCTTGTCGTTTGATAAAGTTAAGATTGAGCCACTGTAGTCACTTGGACTATTTTAACGATGTCTTTAATAACTTTTCGAGGCCAGCAAGATTCAATCCCTCAAGAAGCCTATGGACTAGTATGGATGAGTGATCCAGCTCTCAGATTTCATCAAAAATATCTTAATTCGTGTTCCGAAGATGAACAAAGGTCTTACGGGGTTGGAACAACATGAGGGGGAGTAAATACTGACAGAATTTTCATTTTTGGGTGAACTATCCCTTTAACTAGTCCTGGTTAACTATCAGAGGCCTGATGAAAAGAACCTTTCTATGATCACTAGAACTCTTATCTCATGCAAACATTCCTTATACATTAGAATTTCCAAAAACGAATGTAGCCCCCATATACAATAAATACATATTTTTCTTTTTTTTTTTTAAATTTGCACGGTACTTTATAAAGGTCATTAAGTATTTCCAAATGTTTTACCGAGTATGCATTGGTTGAACTTTGTGTATTGGTCAAAATCATTTCTTTTAAACCTGTTAATGATTAAATTGACAGGAAGTGATTTTCTAATGACATGACATTGAATGATTTGAATCTATTGCACATTCACAGTGAATACACTGTATTAGTATACCATTCTTTCTGCCTTTAGCAGAGGACTAAATTGTCACATGAAACTGGGAAAAAGTAAAAACAATGAGAGGACTAAATTGTCACATGAAACTGGGGAAAAAATAAAAACAATGTGCTTGATCATAAGACTTGCGATGCAATCTGTTGACATTTCTGTCTTGTGGCTGATGATGCCATAGGGCCTTTTATATAATATAATCACATCTCCCTCCAGCCCTCACTGGACAGTATAAGACACGTCCTGAAGTACTGTATGTGTGTGACTGCTATATTGTGCTGAATTCCAAAGAGATCACATATTGAGAATTGTGAGGTTTGTAAAGATCTGCAAAAAGCCTGATGATAAAATATTAAAACATGCTTAAGATACAAATGTTATGAACTATTTTATTTTATGATGAGCGTAAGGGTGAAAATAAGCCATCCTTGACTGTGTATTGGTTTGTATTTTGGACTTGGTTTCAAAAGATTTTTCCTGCAGTTCCGTTTTCTGGGAACTGTGAGATAAGAGTCCTAAAAATCCGTCATTTAGTTTTTTGCCTTCATTCATTGTCAATGATTTTGTGCCTCAAAACCCTTTTTTAATGTAATAGAGTGATCTTTAATGTCTGTCTTTTTTCAGGATTCTTTGATGAATAGCAAGTCGAAAAAGAGCAGCAATTACTTGAAATCGAAATCTTTTGTAACATCGAAAATGCCATTAGTCGCTTTATCGATTTAAAACAATTACTGAATTAAAGTAACAATTAGAAGTTAAATACACCATTTGTGCAATAACTAAAAACCAAAATTCAGTCTCTTTTAAAGCCAAACAAATGATCAACACCAAAAGTCCGGCTGTTTGTACATTTTTTCTTTAGTCAAATCAACTTAAATAATTTATTTAGTTCAGATAACTTATTATTTTAAGTTTCTGATGATTAAATCAATCTCCTTCATTGTATGAACTCACTTTTTCCAGTTCAATCAACTTAAAAAATTAAGTAACCTGGTTGCCTTCAAATTTTAAGTTAAACCAACGATATTTTTTTTTTTACAGTGTAGACACAGCACAGACAACATAAAAGTACCAGAATATATCTGCTGCTGAGTGTACACGTCTCCTTAAAGTCTGTGTGGGCTTGAGTTAATGATTCACCAATCCCAAAACATATCCAGACTAATAATACTCTACAGCGGGTTAACCATTTATTTTCTCCAGACACACACGGTTACTGCACATTCTTGTTGCTTTGTTCTTAGAAATAACCTGATGCATTAAATACACACATACAACTGTGTATATTATAATGCTCAGTCACATACTTTCCAATAGGTCATGAGTAAGTAGGCAGCGGTCACGGGGAGATGGGAAAGAAAAGCCTTCGGGGTTTGAGTTTTGGGTCATTAGTACTGCACCAGTCACCTATTAACAGACCCTCACTGATCTTTAACCCCCAGCCCAGCTCTAGAGAACGTCCTACACGTCCAAGGACTTCTCAGGTCTCACTGTGGATGAAGGCTTTGAGAGTTTGTTGTGCTGAGAAAGTTTGAAGGACATACAGAAGTTAAAGTTTTAAAGAATCCTCAAAAAGCCATTAGCTTTGAGCTACAACAACAAGTGTAGCAAAAGAGCAAGTACATTATGTGTGGGAAACTTGTCTTGTGCTCACCATGGAGATGACGTGGTTTTTGGGTAAAAGTAACAGAAAAAAAAAACAGTCAATTGTTTGTTTAATCTTTTTAATGTATAAACTCTGGGTACAAAACTTTCAATAAAATTTAACAGTACATTCTCACTCATTTTATTCATTTGTTGAACAACTCATAACTGTTTCTGTTCACACATTTCCTAAATGTCTTAAAATTATTGTGGGTTTCAGAAGTTACGGCACTCGAAGTGACCATTTGAGTACACATTGATATTTAAGTTTAATATAATTTGATCTGAATTTAATCAGGAAGGCTATGGGAATCTTATTTAAACAAATCATTCCAGCACTTCAACAAGCTCTTGTATTGAGCTAGAAAACCTCAAATATCTAGAGGTTCACCTGTATAGTGCTTGAACAAAAACAAGGCAAAACAAATCCCTGGCACTATATCAACATTAATGAAAGAAAAAAAAAATTACATAAAAAACGAAACCCTATGTATTTATTGGAAACTAGTTTTGATTAAAATGCTCAGAACTATTAAAAGTCCTTTATTTTTGCCTATGGTTGGCACTAAAGCAAGGACACTTCTCTCTCTTTTTTTGAGGTACCACCGTTTTTTTTTGTTCGTTTTTTCCAAAGATAACAATCATGATAGGTATAGTGAAGGATACAGTCTTATCTATTGTATATATGCCGGACGTTATATTTAATTTATGTCCTATAGACTTGAGAAAGCTGAACGATGTTGGGACACATGCAAGCTATACTGAATCGTGAAACTAAGAGTGTTTAATATTTCTAAACCGTGGAGTGTTCGGCAGACTAGTGAAATGAACCCAGACTCGTCCAATCATCAACAAGCGAACTTCCAGTCAGTTAAGGTGCGCTAGGTTGCTCAATCTATATAAACATGTAATTTCATTGATTTACAGAAAAAGGTTTTCAAAACAATTAAGTCGTTTAAAATAAAACAAAAGGTGAAAAGTTATATTTAGTGAAAAGATGGAAGCCCAGACCATTTAAGACGATGACATGTTAAGAAAAAAAGTTTGTTCTGGATTGTAACCAGTGAGATGTTTCATGGCTCTGTTTTTAAGTGTATCACAGCTTTCAATAAAAAGAAAAAAGAACAATTTCGAACAGAACTTCCTACTTCCTGGAAGAAGCCCAGAGAGGCACAAACCGAAGATCTCACCATGGCGCCAGGATGGATTAACCATTGACACGCTCATAGCCATTAACAAGCACAGAATATGCCAGCCGCCACGGATAATGACGTGTGGATGTTTGAGAAAGGTGGGTTGGCATGGTGACAGGTTAATGTATATAAAACCGGCTTCTGCTGTCTTTCACACGGTCGACGCGCCACATGACGGATAGGAGGGTTTGCATTCATCGTCCTCTTTTCCTCCTCCATTACCATCTATCATCACAGTGTGAGGCGTTTTCACTCTCTAAATTACTCTTTGGAAGTGTGGCTTCCCGATTAAAATCTTTTTTAAAATGTCACCTGAGAAGCAGAAGAACTATACAGATGTCACTTTGCACTGTCTCCTTTCTCCTAAAGACAAACGAAACACAAAACAAGGGTAAAATTATCACTTGATAAACTGTAGTTTGCTTAATGTGCATTAAGGTGATTAGAGAAATTTCTGCAAAAATGAGCAGGCAAAAAATGTTTATTGTTAATAGTTATGATTTCCGCGATGAGAAAAGGCGAATTACGGAATTCAGTCATTAAAAAAAATACATTTACTGTATAACGCGGAATGTCACAGAATTTCATGGAGCAGTATAACGGAGAACTTCGTAGAATTTGTACATTTTTTGATGAATAAATAAAAAAGCAGGTCAGTACACTTAAATTGCACTAAAGACTAGTGTCTGTGAATATTAAACAGCAAAAAGACTATTTAATTATTTAATCATTTAATTATGAATCCTGCATGTTCTGCATGTATCTGTGTGTGGGATCCAGAACACTTTAGGCGCTTTTCCACTGCATAGTACGGTACGGTTCGGCCCAGTACGCTTCGACTCAGCGCGGAACAGTTCGGATCGCTTTTCGTTTCCACTGCAGTAGTACCCCTTCAAAATGTGTGTGACTGATCGTTATTTGCGCGCGCCTCTACTGCCATGACATCATCTTAAAAGCGCCACATTTTCAAACCCACAACACAGGAACAATGGAGACTATCGAGGGGATGGTGTTCCTGATTCTCGGTATGTGGTTGTTTTTAACTGCTAGATGGAAAAATGTGTTTAAAATGAGGCTGATGGCAGCAAAACAAAAATACTGCTAAAAAAGTGTCTCGTGTCTCTTGTCGCAAATCCAATGACGCTGGTAGTGACGATTCTGTCTGACCAATCAGTGATCTGCAGTGTTTCACGTCACATTTTAGTACCGGTACGGTACGCTTGGAACCTCAACAGACCAGGTACCATTTAAAGCGACCTGAAGCGAACCGTACTGTACCGTACCATGCAGTGGAAAAGCACCATTAAAACAGTAAACACAGAATTTGGTAAAAATAAAACATATTTCATAGAGCCCTTAACCCTAAAACTGTATTCTGGACAAATGTGGGAAAAATAGTTGATTTATTTTTTAAAAATACTTCCCTTGATCTGAGCGGTACAAGACTTTGCCTCCTGAACACACACAATTTAATTTAATTTTTTGACTCATTTCTACAATGTTAAGTGGGTGAAAAAACTCCATAATCTAGTATTTGGTTCAAAAATGGGCATCCATAGAAATGAATGGGAAAAACTGTAATTTAGAGCATTCTAAAATAAGCCAAAATAAGACACCAGGGGCCTCATGTATAAAACTTTGCGTAGATTTCATCCTTAAAGTGTGCGTACGCACATAAGGCAGAATTTGCGTACGCACAAAAGTTTTCAGATTTACAAAACCGTTCGTACGCCAGAACCTGCGCAAAATTCACTTTATATATCCCAGTCAGCGGGAGATTGTGCGCACGTGCGTCTCCACCCCGAAATAACCATATATGGAGATTACAACGCCTAGTTCAAATATGCATATCCTCATCTGCATATCATTTGCATATGATTATATCTCCACATGATACCAATATTTTTTTTTAGTAGCCTATATCCTTGTCTTGTTTTTGAATAAATAAATCAATTAGTGTTAAATACATTTCAGAGAAAGTTTTTTTCAATCTTTTCCACTGGCCAAATAGTATTTTTAATTGATTTATATTTTAATGGAAACAGATAGACATGGTTGTGCATTATTTGCACGAAACAATTTTCTCAGACAATCTGCTATTATCATAATTAGCAATTATCTCTAGTTAAAACATTAAAACACAGCATGCCAGAAGAAAAGTGTTCAAAAGCAATGCATCCACAACAATATTTATTGAATATATTTTTTTGTAACTTCTTTCATGTAGTTTAAGTGTTTAACTCCATTAATGAGAATGGCATATTTAATCTAGGCTAAATGTTTATAACAGAAGTAAAATATAGTTTAAATCATTCTTTTATTTATTTAAACTGTTATTTTGAACATGCACTGTATTTATGATTTGGACTCATAATGAAGATTTACGCTTTTACTCCATATGCCGTTAGATTGTAGGCTATATGTGTGTCAGCTTCACCAAACGGCCCAACGCGCGTGGTGGCACGGTCATTTAAGAAGGGGTGGATGTTTGCTTCAAGTGATGATAGGTTTGTGAAATTATATTTGGATTATATTTCTGTAGATGTATAATTTTCTTTAGATTCTCTGTCTGATAGTGACCAAAAAGACACTTAACTCCAGCTCAACATCGGTGTCGCCAAAACACACACTCTTCTAAAAGATTGCGTACGCACGGTCAAGAGCATCCTTACGGTGCGCACTTATTTACGCCAAGTTTATTTTTTATAAATCCCGATATGTGCGTAAAAAAATGCGTACGCATATTTCTACGCCCAACGTTTATACATCAGGCCCCAGGTGACAGCAAAGCCACTTCATCTTTAGTTTTTAGCTCTAAGAACTTATTGGAATGATATTTTAAATGTAGTTAAAACATTTTAAAAATAAAACATAAAAATAAGCATAATTTACATAGAAAATATGGAACTTTTTGAAGTAAATAAATTCAAAAATACCCCCAAAATAATGAAAAAAAACCCACCATAAATGGATAGACAAAACTTTATCGAAGACAGTGATATAACATTTATAATAAATAAAAATTAGGATCACACCCGAGTCCTCTGTGCCCACATTTGTCCACAATTACAGGATTAAGGGCTAAAGTGAATACGGTTTTGATGGCTACAATGTAATTTGTAAATAACTTTTAATACACTGTTAACTTGTATACATAGGTTTCAGTTAAACCTACAAGGGAGACATATTCATATTAAAGCTTTATGAGCAAAAAAAAAGACTATTTAATAACAAAGTATAAGCTACCAATCAGAGGACAGAGGGCATAAAGTGGATTGTGTACAACACGTTTTGATCCTATTGATAATTTATAGGCCCAAGACATTTTCATATTAAATATTATACAGGCTATAACATATTTAAAAATGAGCATTATTCATTGGTCAACATCATTTTGCAAAGAATGTTTATTTTAAGTTATGAGAGAATAGATGTAATTCAAATGTGGCTAAAATGTTGTAACAAATATTGCCAAACAAGGACTCTTTTTAAAGCCCTAAATATTGTAATGATGTATTAAGATGTATAATTGTATAATTCACACAGAAGTCCCTTTCAAACCAAGCAGTTTTCTGTACACAAATGCAGCAAAAACGCATGACCGAGTTTAACCTGCGGCAATGTCTGTGAGGGGAAATCTTTTCTATTGAAGTGACTGGATTTTGCCCAAGTAAATTTGCAGAACAACAGTTAATGTGACTGCAACTTATGCCCATGTGTCCATCAAAGTGTTTTTAACCAGCTGTGGGCACTTGAGAAGCTTACAGCTAAACATTCCTCTAAGCATTATTTTTTATAATAATATTGTGGTAGTCTAAGGATGCCATCTGGCAAAGACATGAATACACAAAGCAGCAATATTTACTTTTTTCTTCAATTGCTGTCTAGTCGTTGTGCAAGTAGAATGTGCCGGTTGTCAGTTTAAGTATTTGTCCCGTCTCTACTGTTATTGAATGGCTGGTTAAAAACATTTTACTCCCTTTGCAGACAATTTAATAAATACTTTTTGGTGGACACACGGCCATAGGAATGACAGACCATTCGCGGGCAAAGTATGTTATCTTGTACACGCTTACCTGTGACTGTGGTCCTGTGCTGTGTTCAGGGGGGTCAGTGGAAGGTGAAGAGGAGACACTACCCTTGAGCTCAGTGATAAGCAACGTCCGTCTTTCACGGGCCGATTTGGGGTCACACTTTGTCACCCGGAATCTAGAGAAAGCAAGGAAGATGTAATGAAGCAGTGTCCGCACAAAGCCCAGACCTGAATCCCATTTAGCACATTTGAAACAATGATGCAAAAATACTATCACAACGTATCACCGTCATAGAACTAACTATTCAACACAGAAGCGCTGCGCTGTTACACTAGTGAACTCACTCGAGGACCACACAGAAGGAAATGAATAGTTGAATAAAGTCATGATTTTTGTTTGTTTTTTTTGCGCACAAAGTATATTCTCGACGCTAGATAAACTTAAGATTGAGTCACTTGGACTATTTTACTGTCTTTAATAACTTTCCTGGCCGGCAAGTTTCGATCCCTTAGAAGCCAATGCAGGAGTGATCCAGCTCTCAGATTTAAACAAAATATCTTAATTTGTGTTCCGAAAGATGAACGAAAGTCTTATGGGGTTGGAACTACATGAGGGTGAGTAATTACTGAGAGAATTATCATTTTTTTTGTTTCAGAAATCGCCAAATTTATGTCAATATAGTTATTGCACAATATAACCTTAAACCCATATGATCATTGATGTGACTTGTTCAACATGATCGACCCATTATTTTTTTTTGTATCAGGAAGTATTAAAACTTAATTTTATCCAAGACTGGAGATTGCACAGGAAAGTAAATTGAGTGAGTGAAAGTAATTGGTATTTTTTTTTTTAATTTAGCATCTTTACTCTTAATCTGGTGTCGTATCACAGACCTAATCTAAATAGTATGCAGGAAACAGAAATTCGATCGGTCATCCAGATACAGAGGCTACTTAAATGCACCATGTCTTGATTGGCTAATGATCTGATCTGCTTGATCGAATCACGGTGATCGCATGTTAATGACAATTGTAAACGGAGCCATATGCTATCTGTTAGCGATCACATCATTTACTATACGGCACAAGCTAATTGGCCTTTGTAGATTCTGCAGCATTTCAATAATCCGGTTCAATGTTTGCTGTAAGATGGTCATCTGAAATCCTGTACGTATGGGATTTACACACAGTATCTCACAAAAGTTTGTATACCCCTCACATTTCAGCCACCATTTTAGTATATCTTCTCAACGGACAATACTATAGAAATGAAACTTGGATATATTTTAGAGTAGTCAATGTGCTGCTTGGATAGCAGTATATATTTACTGTCCTCTGAAAATAACTCAAAATACAGCCATTATTGTCAAAATAGCTGGCAACTAATGTGAAAACACTCTAAGTGATAACAGCACAGCAGTATGTTGTTTAACCATGGATGTTCAACATGGCACCTCATGGCAAAGAACTCTACAAGGATTTGAGAATTAGAATGATTGCTCTCCACAAAGATGGCTTAGGCTATAAGAAGATTGGTACCACCCTGAAACTGAGTTACAGTACAGTGGCCAGGGTCATAAAGGGGTTTTCCAAGACGGCTTCCACTCAAAACAGGGCTCACAAGGGTCAATCAAAGAAGTTGAGTCCTCGTGCTGTGCGTCAGGTGCAGAAGCTGGCTTCAAAAAACAGACGCATGATCATGCCAGAATTGCTTTTAGGCTATGTTTATACAGAAAAGATCTGAAGAGAAAATGCAAAAGTGGCGTTGCGTTATCACTTTTTATTATGCGTTTAGACGAGTGTTATGGGTGGGAAATCTGCGTGCATAGGGTAACGCAAAAGTGTGTGAAATTCGATGTAGTATACACTCCAGGCGGCTAAGTGGAAAAGTAAAATACTGCCACACAACACCAACTCTGTGCGCCTGCATACAGCCTTCACTATCTAGCAGACTTTTGCTTTTATTCTCCTTCGACGGGAACGCGACGGTGGATCGTTTTTAAGATTTCCATTCTCTAGGGTGGTTTCACTTTAAGTTTTCAAGCCCCAAAAACGCCGTCACGTGTAAACGAAAGGCACATCTGATAAAATATTTTTATGTTTTCATGTAAACAGGGCCTTAGCGGTTGCATTAGCAGAATATCAGCTCGTCAGTGCTCGGGCCATACGCCGCACATTGCACTGTCGGTTTGCATGGCCGTCGTCCCAGAAGGAAGCCTCTTCTGAAGCTGGCTCACAAAAAAGCCTGCAAACAGTTTGCTGAAAGCAACCTCTCCAAGAGCATGAATTACTGGAACCATGTCCTGTGGTTTGATGAGACTAATATCAACTTGTTTGGCTAAGATGATATCTAGCATGTGTGGCTTGCTGAGGAAGCTGAAGGTGATGGAGTGGCCAAGTATGTCTCCAGACCTGAACAGTATTGAGCACCTGTGGGGCGTCCTCAAGCGGAAGGTGGAGAAGCACCATGTGTCTAACATCCAGCAGCTCCGTGATGTCATTATTAACAACCTGTTCAGCTCTGGTGAATGCCATGCCCAGGAGGATTAAGGCCATGTTAGATTACAATGGCTCTCACACAAAATATTGACCTTTGGACACAGTTTTTAAATTCACCTGGGATCTATTCACTTTTGTTGCCAGCTATTTTGACAATAATGGCTGCATTTTGAGTTATTTTCAGAGGTCAGTAAATATATACTGCTATACAAGTTTCATTTCTATAGTATTGTCCCTTGAGAAGATATACTAAAATGTTTGCTGAAATGTGCAGTAGCACCTCATTGCAGGACACGACATCCAGGGGGCGGAGTTGGATCCAGATCAGGGGTGCGTTTCCCGAAAGCATCGTTAGCCAACTATGGTCGCAAGTTGATCGCAATTTCCATTGAACTCTATTGGCAACGACGGAACTTGCGACCATAGTTGGCTAACGATGCTTTCGGGAAACGCACCCCAGGGTAGGTTTACGTAAGGTGGGAGGAGTTGGATCTGGATCCGAATCCTCCCCGTGGATTTCATGTTCTGCAGTGAGGACCATCTCGAAATGTGAGGGGTGTACTCACTTTGTGAGATACTACTGTATGTCTATTTACGCAGCATCGGCTAACAGCAACATGTCTGTGTATCTATTGAAAGGATGAACTTCACACTTGCTCTGCAGCAGCACTTGTAGCAGATCTAGACCACTAAGACCAAATACATTAACATTGATATATCTATTAGCATGCTAAAAACTATTTAGTTGTAACGACTGAAATATTTACTTTAGTATATAAAAATAGACATGTATAATAAAAGACCTGTTGTTCATTAAAGTAGATATTAGCGTCAATAAAAGTTATTGAATCTGAATTAAGCCGCTGTTCTCCAAGAGCCATGTGTGTGGGTGGAACACGGAGAAGCAAAGTATATTTTAAGCTTCAGGGTTCATGTCCAAATAGTAGAAATATGTCAGTTTCTTGCTGAGTATTCACTTAAATACAGTCAGATGTCTTAAATTAACATAAACAGTTGCACAATAAGTTGCATGTGCAGCAGTATAATAAATACGTGCATTAGGTCTTAAAGTGACAGAAGCCCAATAAACCTGCTACCGTCTGTTTCAATTTTAATAAAAACATAAAAAAAAAAAAGATTTAGGGCCAGAAATACAAACCAGGGCAATTTGGCATGAGAGCGCAACTCTAAAAAACCTAAAGTGGAAAGTTTTGCACGTGATCTATTGATGACACGCACATTAAAGGAGACGCAATCTACCAAGACATGCAAGACGTGTCTTTAGTAAATCCCTACAGTAGTTTAACACCAAAAGAGGGTTTCCGCTAGCGCATGCTGTTAGTAAATCTGGTCCTTAGTAGGATTAATCTATATTTAATTCATACAGTGAAGACTACGTTTTACATCTGATTACTTTCTGATGATAAAGACTGTTCAGTTTTTTTTTTATTCTTCAAGCACAGAAAAGCTATATTTGTTAAAGCTGCAGTCCGTAGCTTTTTTTTGGGTTAAACATGATCCAAAATACATATTTGAGAAAATAGATAACCAGCCAAAACTATCTGCTTGCCTTAGCTCAATTCCAAGCGGTAAGCTTGTAATAATGTTTTTAATTTCAGTGATACTGGTGGATTTCACAGATCCAGAAAAGTTCAAACGACAATCACCAGTGACAACAGATTCACCCGCTGTAAGATACAAAAGACTTCGTTCAGACTTCTGAGTGGTTACAGAATGAAAGAGACTGCAACCGGCCCATGCAAAAACAAGGATACATATCAGTAGGGACATTACATGTAGTCACGCAATGCTTGCTTACGTTGTTAACATTAACAATTTGAGAACAAAGTATAATATGCACGTTTTTTTTTTTACAACTCACGTGAAGTTGATAATTCCGCGAATGACTGCAATTGCAGTTTTTGAACAGAGATGGCGACAAAGAGGAAAAACACCAGACTGCAGCTTTAAGCACTAAATTGTTCCTAACCGAATGGAATATGTTGCTTGCTAATAAAAGAGTTGTCAATTCATGACACTTTCTCATCACTTACTTTTGTTTAATACTTAAAATGCATTGTTAAGAATAATAACCCCAGGGGTTATTTCGGTGATCGGTATAGGCCAATACTGTTTCCAGTGATCGGTAATCTACCCCAAAGACCCTGATTGGAGCACCCTCAGTGTTTCTGTATGTAAAACACACCTGCCCACAGACAGCACGGTGACCTCTCCTAAGTAACTGCGTCTCTCCAGTTTCTTGCTGGACGAGCGTCTCATCAGAGGCCATTTTTTCTGGTTGCAGCGGTTGCAGATATTCTTATGTCCTCCCATTCCTCCGATGGTGTGCAGGTGGTTGCAGGTGTGTTTGGCTGTGCTGGGCGGCAACCCTGGCAGAGCAGGACTCTCTGGGCTGCTGGGTGAATTTGGAGAGGTTGGCGTCGCAGGGCCACTGTAGATAATTGAACAGAAAAAAAAAATATCAGCTGAACTGCATGAAATACCCAAGATGACCAAGTTACAGTTGCCAAAATGTGTTATGTACAACAGAAAACACTATATGTGGCCCATAATGTGCTTGACTTGACCTTCTCCAAGCATACTAATATTTGAAATGTGTATCGTAGCAATAATGCACACTTTCACACACACACTATTTAAACAAAATAACTTTGTATGTTATTGTTTGGACACATGGATAGTCTAGGGTTGACCAAAAAGCTATTTGCTTAGTCCTTGTATCATGAGTAATATCAGTTTATTATAGCATCAGTTTACTATCTCAAAAGCTGCATCACAGTTGGTATGATTTGGTTAATTATTAATGTATTTTAAAATTACATTTATTTCTGTGATGGCAAATCTGGATTTGCTTCATTTTTGATCCTTCAGAAATCATTCCAACATGCTTTCATTCTAATATGAATAATGTTAAAAAGAAAAGCATTTCTTTGAAAATCGATTGTAAAAGAAAATGTCATTACTGTCACTTTTGGTGGGGTTAAGGCATCCTACTGAATAGTCTTAATTGCTATTGCTAATATATATATATATATATATAAATTGTGGTGGTGTAATTATAATAAATATGATTATGCTGATGAATGCGTTTTGAATCGATTCACCTAAATAGACACTCTTAACAAGGCTGCGTTTACTTGATAAAAAAATGCAGTTCAGAGACTTTCAAAAACATTTGTAAAAAGCTGTAGTGTAAAAGTTTAAATAAAACCATATTTAGGTAAATGTTTATTACCATGTACTAACTATTGTTCCTTGTCTTTACTGAATCTGCTTGGCGACAGTGGCTGTTTGATGGAAATGGTGGTTCTTCTAACTCATTTTCTGCATTTCAGACATGTATTGTTGTGATATCATTAATTTCATATATATATGCATTGTTCTGAATAGAAGATTACCCTAATTATAAGACGACACCCACTTTATAAAGATATGCTATTTGATTTAAAAAAAAAAATTTTTTAGACAAGACAAGATTTTGGTCCTCAAAAAGCCTTCTTCCAAAAGATATATGTATAAGATAGTTATCTATCTTATTATATAGCCCAGTAATAAGATAGTTTCTGATGAAATAAAACGTTTAAGATTAAAATTTGGACACATGCTGCTGGCCTGAGAATATTCGGTGTCTGTGGTTGCCCAACCACAGTTATGCAGTATAACTGTTACTTTAGACAGGCAGACTCTCTCCCCAGCTGCTTTATCTGTCTTTTCCTCCTCCCTCTATTTATTTTGTCCTTCCACACTGCCAACTAAAAGAGGGAAATGCAGTGGTCTTCTCTTATCTGTCTTCATTACACTGCGGGATGTTGTTCTGCTCTGCGTGCATTCGCGCGCGTGCCTCACTCCAGAGGCAGAGGAAGAGCAGCACAAAGATACTTCAGTTGTCACCTGCAAAAGAGGCTATGAGGAACATAAAAGAGGGAGAGACACACATGCAAACACACACACTACACTCATATTTTTCACATGTATTTTCTGTGTGTTTGCCAATGGAGAGCCACAACTAAACAGTGCAAGATCAGTTTGATCATTTATAAAGACAAATGGTCCTGTCCCCTTAATGCAGTCATTAGGGAGTCACGGTTGTGCTGGTTGCCATGGTCCCATTAGTCCCTGGTAATTGTTGAAACTACACCATCTACCTGCCAGTGCTTGGGAGTATTTGCGCATAGCAATGTTAGCTTAACTAAAATTTGCAGTAGCTTGACAGGAGGGACGTTACTTTTAAAGAAGTTGAGCGTTTTTAGTAACAAACTATTTTTTTCAATCAAGTAGCCTGCAGTGAAATGAAACGCTACATCACTATAGGGATAGTTCACCCCAAAATGAAAATTCTGTCAGTAATTACTCAGCCTCATGTAGTCCAAACCTGTAAAACTTAAGTTCATCTTCGGAACACAAATTAAGATATTTTGTTTAAATCTGAGAGCTGGATCACTCCTCCATAGGCTTCTAAGGGATTGAAACTTGCTGGCCCAGAAAAGTTATTAAAGACATCGTTAAAATAGTCCAAATGACTACAGTGACTCAATCTTAAGTTTATCAAGCGAGAAGATTACTTTTTGTGCACAAAAAAAATCAACTATTTTTTCCTTCTCTGTGGGCCCCGAGATACTTCACTTAGTGAACTGTGACACCACTACGCGAACTGTAACACTACGCGAACGGTTACACTACTACGCAAACTGTTACACTACTACGCGAACTGTAACACTACGCGAACGGTTACACTACTACGCAAACTGTTACACTACTACGTGAACGGTTACACCACTACGCGAACGGTTACACCACTACGCGAACGGTTACACCACTACGCGAACTGTTACACCACTACGCGAACTGTGACACTACTACGCGTAGTGAACTGTAACACTACTACGCGAACTGTGACACTACGCGAACGGTTACACTACTACACAAACGGTTATAATACTATGCGAACTGTTACTACTACGCGAACGGTTACACTACTACGCGAACGGTTACACCACTACGCGAACGGTTACACCACTACGTGAACGGTTACACTACTACGCGAACTGTTACACCACTACGCGAACTGTGACACTACTACGCGTAGTGAACTGTTACACCACTATGCGAACGGTTACACCACTACGCGAACGGTTACACCACTACGCGAACGGTTACACCACTATGCGAACGGTTACACCACTATGCGAACGGTTACACCACTACGTGAACGGTTACACTACTACGCGAACTGTTACACCACTACGCGAACTGTGACAATACTACGCGTAGTGAACTGTTACACTACTACGCGAACGGTTACACTACTACGCGAACTGTTACACCACTACGCGAACGGTTACACCACTACGCGAACTGTGACAATACTACGCGTAGTGAACTGTTACACTACTACGCGAACGGTTACACTACTACGCGAACTGTTACACCACTACGTGAACTGTTACACCACTACGCGAACGGTTACACCACTACGCGAACTGTGACACTACTACGCGTAGTGAACTGTAACACTACTACGCGAACTGTAACACTACTATGAGAACTGTGACACTACGCGAACGGTTACACTACTACACAAACAGTTATAATACTATGCGAACTGTTACACTACTACGCGAACGGTTACACCACTACGCGAACGGTTACACCACTACGCGAACGGTTACACCACTACGCGAACGGTTACACCACTACGCGAACGGTTACACCACTACGCGAACTGTGACACTACTACGCGAACGGTTACACTACTACGCGAACTGTTACACCACTACGCGAACTGTGACACTACTAGGCGAACTGTGACACTACTACGCGAACGGTCCACTATGCGAACTGCGCAATCTCGAGGTCCACAGAAAAGGAAATGAATAGTTGAATGAAGTCGTTATTTTTGTTCGTTGTTTTTGCACACTATAAGTTTTCTCTTCGCTCGATAAATTTAAAGCTGCAATCCGCAGTTGGAACAACATGAGGGTGAGAAATTACTGACAAAATTTTCATTTTGGGGTGAACTAACCCATTCTTGCAAAGGATTCACTCTTTTAAGTCTGTTCTTTTCAATGTATGTGACAAATGGTAAGCAGAATAATCCAAATCAGTTTAAGAATTAGTCTGAATCATTCAGCTCGTTTACACGAGCACTGAAATGCTGGGTGTGGTAAAACAGTACAGAGCTATACAATGATATGGTAAAGAAAAATAGCGCTGGTCTGAATGAAGTGAAATATTTACCTAATATCTACTGAGAACAATCCTAGAATATTTAGCTTATAAACAACTACGTACCACAGGTAAAGAAGTTGAAGAATACACCATGTTTTTTGACATGTATACCTTTAACAATGCTGTTAAACTTAATGTACAAAGCAAACAGTTTGCTGAAATATCCACAACATTAACAACACTGAAATAACACACGCTTTATCTTTTGTCACTATAGCACAGTACAGTATAGGGTTCTCCACACTTTCTAGTAGAATCATTATTAGTCCAATTCATTTTTAGTATTAAAACAAAGCGATTCAGCATCATCAAGAACGTAATTTAGCAATGGATAAGAAAAATATGATTCATCCTTTGTTTTTCTTCCCCTTTATAGAAAATTATTTTTTTTTTTTTTTCTATTCTTCAGTGTGGCATAATGTATTACTCAGCATCTCCATGTGGATCAGAGAGAAATATCCAGAACAGGGCACAATGATCAATAATACATTTTAAATGTATTCACACGAATTTCATAACAAAAGCAAAATACATTATCTATGCTTTGTTATTTGTAATTTCATAACTGTTATCAAATAACTATGCAATAATAATAATGTCTCTTTAAGTAGCTTCAGAGTAGTTAGCTACTTTTTCTATTAATGTAGCAAACTACTTTTTAACTACATTTGTCTGTTGTTAAACTACTTTAAATTAGGCAGCTTGATAGATTGGAAGCAGAAAAAAACAATCTTTCCAATCTGATGACTACTTATAAGTAGCTGTGTATTCTAAAAAAAAAAAAAAAAAAATTGCAAGTAACAACTACTGTAAATTGCAAACTCCACCCGTCCACTCATAAGCCACACCCCCAAATTCCTCCCCCATGGAAGCCCTGGCTCATTCAGAACACCACTCCTTATTTCCCCTTTTTCCATTGCTCTAAACCCATCACCTTCCATTTGCTCTGCTCTTCTTTATATCAGTCTCATTCTCGACTTGAGGAAGCAAATTCACTCTGCTGCTTTTACAGAGTGACCTCATAGTTCAACCCAAATCTGGTATCCAACAGAAAGCTCAGACCAACAAAAATAAAAATATATCACACACAAATTTAGAGGAGGACATTTGGTGGATCCACTTTTAAAATACTTGGTCTTTAAAAGACCATGGTCTTTTTGAACTCTAGTTGAAACCTAAAAGCAACCCGTACATGTATCTCCTTTTTTGTTCCATTGCATAAATGAAACCCCACAGGTTTTGAATGACATGAGAGTGAGTATACGATGACAGATCATTTATTTTTTCATGAGTGAACGATCCCTTTAATCCAGGGATTGATGTGCAAGACTTTGAATTGCATAAAATAAATTATAACATCTCAGAAAAAAATAAAAATTCACTCATGTAATTTGAAATGTTTCAGGAATATGGTGTAGTATAGCTGAGGTAGGGGGGAAAAAAAGTGAAGTGTCACAATTTGTTATCTTTAATCTCATCCAGTGATCAGATTAAAAATGATCTTGATGATAGTAATCATAGTACCAGGTATCGACCTGTCACAGTATATAAACTGATGTCATGATGCTGTTAAAAATAGAGCATGATAAAACTGAATTCTTTTATATACATCAGAGTGGAGACTGCTCCACCCAGACTCATATTTCATGACTCCTCTGTATATGTGATTTTGAAAGATCCTCCCTGGATCTTATTCTGGCTTGCAGCACTGTCAGTGATTGATGCTTCTTTGCTTCATGGCGATTTTCCCCATAATGTGTCATATGAGACGGGCAGAACCACCTCAACATGAATCGGTCCTGTTTTGCTGCTGCTGTTATTTGAGAAGTGACAGCGCCACCTTTTGGAGGGACACGGTACTGCTTTACAAAACACCTTTTTAAGTTTTGGAAGCTGTGGTTTACTTCTAAAACAAGCATAAATGTTTTGCTAGTGAATCATGTGATCAAGTATGCTACTGTGCTTTTTAAAAAAAAAAAATACTCTGAAGACATAATTAAATTACGAGCATAATAAACTGAGTGATACGTTTAAATCAATAATTAAAATGTATTTTATTTGTCCCTCTTTAAACTTCATTATGTCATTTATGTAAAAACTCACTTCATCAAAAAATGTCACACTGTAGCGTGTGTGTGTGTACGCATGCGTGTGTACTTTGTATGTCCCATTATTGTCATATTATGAAAATCGACTAGTGAAGACACTGGTCCATACTAGTTAAAAAGGCTTATAAATCAGCTAAAACATTTTTTTTATTTAAATCTAGTGCTTTGCACATGTTTCTGTGTGTAGTTTCAGGGGTTGCAATAGGTGATGATATCCTTTATACCATTTTATACCAACTTGATACTGTATGTAAAATCAATGGAAGTCCAAATCAGTGAAACAGACATGCACGTTTTTGTGTTTGTGTGGCAACGAGTATGTAAGCATATGATTTGATTTTGAAACTAATTCAAAACACCATCTGTGCAAATTATGAACAACTAAATTAAACCTCCAGATGTACATAAGATTATAGTTCAGAACACCATTACAGGAGACACAAAACAACAAGTATAAGAAAGACATAAAGGAGGACTCACCCCTCTGATTCTATCCTCTCTTGAACCATGGCTTGGAGTGCAGCGGTGTTGGCTGGTGAAAGAGAATGAGGGAGAGTTTATTAAATGACTTCTTAATTTCGCACAGGGAAGAGTCTGGAGCCTCAGATGCAGAGCCATTTGCCTGACTGGATTGTTCAGACTAATGAAAGCAGCTGACGGCCTTCTGATGCAATCGCACATAATCGCACTGGACAGGGTAGCTTCGGGCCATCAATACACACATTACAAATATTAGTGTAAATCACATTTCACAGCTGTACAGGACAGGCATCTTATTAAAGCAACAGAGGAAGATAACATGGAGATGCCACACTAAATGTCATTTTCAAAGGGTGGCACTTGAATTGTGCAATCAATCACTGGCAGTGAACGTGCCTTTCATTTCACAAAACTTTCAGTTCCTAAAACAGAAGAGCACCCAACGCGTTCTCATCCTTGGGTGTCATAGAGTGACACTTTTGAAATTTCATCTAAATGTCAATATAACACACATAGAGCTTTGTTCGGTTATGGTAGGTTTAGTTCTGGTGTAGTTTTAGGGTTAGACCACTAGGAGGCACCTTTTGGCCCATATATATATATATATATATATATATATATATATGTATATATATATATATATATCTGCGTCTCATATTGACGCTAAAGGGTGCCACGTGCTAGCCTGGCTGCGCCCTCCTACGCAATTCCGCTCAATTTCAATGTACTAGAGTCTGGTTGAACCAGGCTAGCCACGTGCGTTGGATGTAGGTGAAATGTCAAAAGCGTCAGTATACATGTATGACGCCTTGGGAAGAGAACGGGCTGGCACCTTATCCATTTTAAGAAGTTGACAGCTACATGAATTGTGTTCTTCCACTAGAAAAGATGTTTCTGTGCTGCTACCATGCATTGTGACAAAACAGTGGAGATGGTGAAATATGAAAGATAAACACACAAACACAAGATATAAGGAGGAGTAAGGTTCATATGTCACACTGAGGGGAATGAAATACTGGTGATCAAAAGGAATATCCATGAATTTACTACTGATGTTTTTCTAAACATGTCTGAATAGACTAAATAAAGTGGTAAATTATGTTTTTCAGTGCAAACAAAGCACTCGCTTCATACAATAGAGGTTAAACCACTGAAGTCACATGATGATGACTTTAATGATGACTTTCCTCGTCTGGACCTTGAATTCGTAAATTGAGGGACAGAAAGCTCTCGGAATTCATCAAAAACATCTTAATTTGAGTTCCGAAGATGGATGAATAAATGTATTACGTGTTTGGATTGACATGAGGGTGAGTAATTAATGACAGGAATAACATTTTTGGGTGAACCAACCCTTTAAAGGAGAACTCCGGCGAACAATGAACCTTTGGTCTAATAAAACATCAGTACCTAGTCAACCGTTCTCTGAGTTTTGTTTTCATGATAATCGAATGTAAAGAGTTTTATCTCTAAAAACTGTTTAGCGTATAATGCTAGTAATGGGGGCATTGACTAAGTAAAAAGAAATCGCTACTTTATACCACTAACACGGCTCAAAATAGCCCCACACTAACGCAGTAACATACTGAGGGTCCCTACATGCAAAACGAAGCATTGAGAACTTTGTAAGTGTACAGACCGTTTAATAAGAAGATACTTTATGAAGACAGTTCACTTCGCGTATACAGACAGGAGCCATCTTGGAAAACAGTCACGACAAGTCAAACCACAAACGTCGTGCTGAGTGATCTGAACTGTATGAAGTTCAGCGAACTTCTGAACTGTATGAACCGCGTTCGGGGATCGACTTATCGAGACTATTTTTTTAAGATGGCTCCTGTCTGTATACGCGAAGTGAACTGTCTTCATAAAGTATCTTCTTATTAAACGGTCTGTACACTTACAAAGTTCTCAATGCTTCGTTTTGCATGTAGGGACCCTCAGTATGTTACTGCGTTAGTGTGGGGCTATTTTGAGCCTTGGTAGTGGTATAAACTAGCGATTTCTTTTGACTTAGTCAATGCCCCCATTACTAGCATTATACGCTAAACAGTTTTTAGAGATACAACTCTTTACATTCGATTATCATGAAAACAAATCTCAGAGAACGGTTGACTATGTACCGATGTTTTATTAGACCAAAGGTTCATTGTTTGCCAGAGTTCTCCTTTAATAGAGAGAGATGCTAAACAGACACCACGTAATTCACACACATTGTCTCTCGCAATAATTCATTCAAATAAATGTAATCTTACACACTACTTTATCTCTGTGTCTGATTTAATGAGCCATAACTAACGAAAATAACCAACATTTTAGAGCAAACATCAATAACAGCTTAAGTCACCATATACTGTTATCTATAAGCTAGTGTGCTGCTCCAAAATAATAATAATAATAAAAAAATAATAAAAAATGCGTCCAGAAGATAAAAACAATCAAAATTTAGTCTCTCTTTTGCCAATATGGAGAAATGATTTTGATGACATCACTCTGCACTTCTGCTTCTCATCAGATTATCTGTCCAATCACATGCCCTCTAAAATCTAAAGCGTCCCGCCCCTACACTATAGAGGCTAAAGCTAAAATTGGTCACTTCTTCACATATTTACTATTTTCTACATGGTGAATCGCACATAGTGCACTAAATAGGGGATAAGGAATGATTCCGACAGTGTAATTATATGCTTTCAATTGGGGGCGAATGAAGTCTGGTTTCACGTTTGTGTGGGCACTGGGCAGGCCACAAAACGTATCGATTCGGAACCATTTTAATTCTGCATAGAATGCAACATTTTAAAGCGACATGGAGGAGAAACGGTCAGCGATTAGGAAGAAAATTGCAGCTTTACTTTGCTCAATGGCTCTGTCCGAGCTGTGATATAAATAGGGCTGGGTATCGATTCACATTTCAATTTCGATTCGATTTCGATTCACAAGCTCTCAGTTCGATTCGATTCTCGATTCAATTTTCGATTTCGATTCCTGATTTGATTCTCGATTCGACTATAATGAAGATGTAATACAAATCCTATATTTATAAAAAAGAACAGTGGACATAAGTTTACTAGTGGTTAATTAATACAAGGAAATTAAGAGCCATAAACCTGTATATAAAACTATTTTTATTTTAGGTACACTAAATGCATACAGAGAATAAACAGGATTTTGATGCAATATGCAAAAAAAGTCAGAACAGTCGCACAGCTTGATCAAACAGTATCAGATTATTTTATGTTTAAGATAGATATAGATAAATATATAAATATTTAGACTTTTTTTTTTTTTTACATTGATCTTACCTAAATGGTAATGTAATTTTTTGTTTATTTTTGTTTTAAGAGTTTATGTATGGAAGCTTGATTTCAATCTTTGAATTAAATTGAAAAAAGTAGCACAAATAAATACAATAGAATAAAGACACAAATAAAGAGACATTTTGGGGTAGTTTTTTGGGTATGTCAGAAATACTACAGAAACTGAATAAAGTAATCCAATGTAAAATAACACTGGATAGTCTTTTTAGACCAGACTGAATTAAATACAAAGGCTATTAATTCTGATTGCTTACAATTAATACTATATTCTGTTGTTATGACAACAGAATTAATGACTGACACAAATGGCTGCGTTCACTTTAAGAACTAGTGCGCGAATCCATTACTGTTTCATTAACTTTCTGTCATACACGTTTAATGCTAATTTAAGACATTACCGACTGTCTTTAAGAGGTTAATACTCACCAATACCAGAGTTTTGACATAATGTCGCGTGTTTTAACTGTTAAAGTGATATAATCCAGGGATAAAACTTTTGTTTCTGGCAAGCTGTTTGTGAGGCAGATTTAGGCTGTAACGTTACTGTGCACGCAGTGAAAGACATCTCTGAGAGTGCGCGAGCACGGGATGGTTTAACATTGCTTGTAAAACTCAAAAAGACGTGAAAATGATAAACTTTAGTTACGATCATAGGTTACGATGCAATGCTGGCCCGATTGTTAAGTGAATATTCCGTCATGTCCCGACTCCTGAACGCGTGTGTGTATCGACAGCTGCAGCGCTTGGCGCTTGCCTGCAGAGAGACGAGAAGATGCAGCACCGCGTCCGCGAGCCCTTTATATGGAAAAAATCGATTCGTGGCCGCTGAGAATCGATTTTGAATCGAACACATTTTAAAAAACGATTAATCGAAAAAACGATTTTTTTGCCCAGCCCTAAATATAAACTAAACTCTATCGGCTATTTCAAAGAAGTGAAGGAGCTGTTCGATACGTCCCGCCTTGTCTATCTGTTTCAGTGGAAATTACGACAACACCTTGACTAATGCTGCGCCTTTCAAGGAACTTCAGTGGGCCTTTAATGGAATAGTTCACTTGAAAATGAAAATTGTGTTATTTACTAACCTTCAAGTTTTTTTTTTTTTTTTTTCAATCCTGAATGAATTTCTTTCTTCTGCTGAACACAAAAGAAAAAGATATTTTGATGAATTTCGGAAACCAGACAGTTGATGGACCCCATTGACTTCCATAGCAATAAATAAATAAATAAATACTATCGGAATTCAATGGAGTCCATCAACGGTTTGGTTACCAACATTCTTCTTTAAAATATTATATTTATTTCCAGGTTTAAGTAGATTGTGTGAAGTCCGCTGAAGGTATCTGAATCAGCCTGGAGAGACACACTCATTGGAGCTGATTGGAGAACATGTTGTCTGGTGTGAACTCATGTTGATTCACTGTTCTGAGGTCAGCTGGTTGTTAATGCTTCGTCACAATCAATGCTGCATCACGATCAATGTGACAGACTGGTTACCACATCTCATGTTTCCCTCAGTGAACACAAACCCACAAGGACATGCTATCAGTTCTGAGAGGCCTTGTTTCCTGCACTAATCATTAGCGAGTAGTGTGATGTCTAAACTCATCTTTATCCTCACTTTCATTCACCTTACCTTCATTTTTCATGATGTAGTTAACAATTTGGCCCACTGTGTCAGCATTGGCATCACTGAAGGTTTCATTCAGATCTGAGAGAGAGAGAGAGAGAGAGAGAGAGAGAGAGAGAGAGAGAGAGAGAGAGTCAACTTGCCTTTGTTGGAAAAAATAATCATGAGAAGATTTGTGTGTATAGTTGATGTTTATTTTTTTTTAAAAACACTCAGGTTGTTTAGTGTTAAGCAGAACCAAAGCAGACACGCAACAACTGATTTGACACAAAACAACCAGAGAAAGTGTGCTGGTTTAACTCAAACCGTCATCACAAACCAACTGTTATTAGTGTTTGTTATTTCATCACATTCAATATGCAGGTGGTATGAAACATTATTTTTGCTGACACAGTAGTACTACAAAGGACTTGCTTATGACAGCAGAAAACACTAACATTTACAAAACTAACTATAAATATGGTCTGTTGACTTCAGTGAAAGGCTTCATAAAGGCATCTGGAGATGGATGGGAATTTCTGCAAAACTACTGCTCAGAGGGGGCCGCTTACAGAAAAAAAACACACACACACACCACCCATGTCCTTCCTGAAGCCATGGACCCCTGCTTGAAAGGACGCACTTCCTGTGTTAGGTCATTTCACAGCTGGGAATCAGACAGAGAAATACATAATTCTGGAGTCATATAAAGTTTATAACTACTAATCTGCTTTTGATAGTTTTTGATTTGCATGTATTAATCTACAGCTAAATAACATCCATACACAATGCAAAAATACCTATGACATCAGTCCAAGTTTACTAACAACAAAATTACACCCACACCCCAAAGCTGCGTTTTAGTTTCTCTCTAATCAGAGCCACAGTTAATGTAAATCCATCCACAAATTAAATCAAATCACTGGGTCCACAGATCCTAATGAGAAAAAAAACTTTTAAGAGGAAATGTATTGTGGGTTGTGTGGGTAAAAAAAAAAAAAAATTCTAGATAAAGCAGAGATTATATTTACACTTGACTCAGTGTTGTTATTGTTAAAAAGGAATCAGGAAAAACAGTTAACAAAAAATAAGGACTCATTAGTCAACATTAGCTAGTACATTACCTAGCTTTCATAAACTATAGCCTAAATGAGCATTAGGCCTATATATTTACGGCATTTATTAATCTTTGTAAACGTTAGTTAATAAAAATGTTAAATGTAAAAATGTACTAATGTTAACATATTTCTTTTATTTTAAATGTATTAAATGTTGCAAATGACAACTAGATTGATAAATGCTATAGATGTGTTTTTTTTCCAATGTTAGTTCATGTTAAATAATGTAGCTAACTAATGTTAAATGGAATATATATATATATATATATATACATTATTATATATATATATATAGCATACATATATATTTTTATTGAAATGTATATTTCAATTAATAAAAACATTTTTTTAATAGTTTATATATGATAACTATAAGGGGAAAAACAAAGAATGAAAGAGACATTTTTGAAATGTTGCCATGGCAAGCTGAAGTTACTGAAATTATAATGAAAATAAAGATAAATCAAAGCTATAAAGAAATAAACAAAAAAAAAATGTAAATACAAATTAAAGACATATTAATACATTTCATTAATAATACTAAACACTGTCTATGCAGATTAGTAAGGGAAAAATATCCATCGCATGCTGTGCTCAATCACATGCAAAATATGGGTGGAACCAAAGATATGAAGACAAACAAAAAGACAAAGAGAGAGAGAGAGGGGTTGCATCAGGTTGAACAAGTCCACACACTTTAAAGTTTCCATCAGAAAATGCCACGTGAATATTCTTAGAAAAGCATGCAAACCATACATAGAGACATTTAAAAATAAATACATTTTAAAAAATACATCAAGAAAATGTGGGCCAGAGTCCAGGAGCTAAAATGCCTGATAGACTCCACCACAGCAATGTACGTAAGCAAACACAGTTTTAAACAACCCAAAAACAGGTTGCAAACAATAAGCTTAAGAAAGGTCAACATGGAGAATGTTCACAATACAATTTGAATTATTGTGGCCAGTCCTGTTCAAGGCGTGCCAAATTATCTTCCTATATAGATGTTAAAAAAAACCTTTGTTCTCTAGTATGTGTGGTGTATCTTTGGGAGGACGACATGCGACATGTACTATATTTAATACTATTGCACACCTCACATTCCTATACAGATGTAAAAAAAAAAAAAAACCCTTGTTCTCTAGTATGTGTGGTGTATCTTTGGGAGGACGACATGCGACATGTACTATATTTAATACTATTGCACACCTCACATTCCTATACAGATGTAAAAAAAAAAAAAAAACCTTTGTTCTCTAGTATGTGTGGTGTATCTTTGGGAGGACGACATGATGCGACATGTACTATAATACTAGTGCACACCTCACACTGCACTTGCCTGCACTATGAACATGAATGGTACCTCAAACTGAGCATCTTGTTGTTGAATATATGTGTGGATACTTTTTGAAAAGTGACAAATCTGGACCCATTAAATATATATATAAATATATATTTTAAGTGATCCAATCCATTTCCAGGAACCAGGGGGTTGTATTACATAAACTTTCTACTTTAGTCTTAACTTAAGGTATGGTAAGTAAATATAGGATCTTTCAGAAAAATTCATATTACAGAAGCAAAACTTAAATTGTTCTAGGCTTCTTATCTTAAAATCTTACAAAATCTTATGTCTAGCTAGGAAATCTTAACTCTCTCCGTCAAGTTAGACCAAATACGTCCAAGCTGCTGTGAGGTAAACTTAAGATTAAAAAGGAGAAACCACATCGGAATGCTTTTCATTTCTGGGGAGCAAATATTATAGTTTTGATATGCTCAATAGAAAAGGTAAATATCTCTTCTATTCGATAAGGTTTTACCTTCGCTCACTCACGAAGAGTTGCCAAAAATGTGTTTGCACCTGCGGTATCTGGAGTTTACAGTACTGTATCTGTTCTGTGACGACTCATAATGGCTGCCGTAATGTTGGTCGCAGTTTGTGTTCTAACTACAATATTGCATGTTGTGGGAGTAATTATTTACAAGTATTTTGTCAAAGCGCAGCACATTATCTAGATCTTCCAAAAGTCTCCATCAAACCTCCCTACTCTTCACCTTATACGGTTTATAAATGTAACGTCATTCTTGAACAAAGGTATCGTGAATTTTACTATTGGCTTTCAAAAAGGTTTGAAGTTAGGAGGGGGGTTATACTAAATTTAAAAAAGGTTGGGTTTTTTTGTTAGGTTAGGATGCTTCTGTAAAACCCTTTTCCTATCTGTATTTAACCCTTGTGCATCAATTAAAAAAAAGTTACACAGGTAAAAAGAGGACAAAAATGTCCATGTCAAAAAACTGTCATAAAAATGTGATGCTTTGGAGCACAGACTTAAATTTGGTATCATTTTAAAGAAGACCCTTTGCAGATTATTGCTGACGTAAAAAAAATAATAATAAGTAAATCCAAAAAAAAGTTGTATAGGTTTATGAAAATTATTTTAAAAAAAATATTTTATATAAAATATATATTTTTTAAATCAGGTTTAACTCAAAAATGCAATAAAATCAAAGCCATAAATCTAAATAGGTTGTGTTCCAAATTTGAGGATGATATCTCAAAAAATGAGCTTTCGGTAACAGTTTGTTTGGGCGTAGTAACATATTTTCCCCATTGGGTGCCAGCAAAATCCCACTGGAGCTCACAGTGATTGGATTTGAATTTAGAGTTTTTCTCTCTCCGTATTACAAACACACATATGCGCACACACACACACATATATTTTTTTATAACACACATACTAACACACACCCACACAAATATTGTTGCATAATTTATCCAGTTGGCTCTGTAGTTTGCCGAACCAGAAAACAGGAATAAAGCGATATTTGTTTTATAGGCCAGACTTAAAATTACACCATCTGATAAAAAAAAATAGTAAAAAATAAAATTTTGAAGCCTTGCCATCAGAATGAAAGCCTCTTAACAAAGATTGCATAATTTTATAGTTAACTGAACCGGGGATTAAAAATGGTAGTTTTAATGGGTTTCAATGGGGACATTTTTGTCCAAAAGGTGCTGAGAGGGAGTATTTTTTGTATCTAATGCTAAAAATATTTTTTTTAAGAAAATGACAGTGAAATAGTAAAATTCCAATAAAAACACACACCTGTGCCAAGTTTTTTGCAGTTAGCTTTAACATGGGCAAAGTGATCAAAAAAACAAAACTGAACAGGACAAAAATGTCCTTAAGGATGCACAAGGGTTAAAAAAAAGATAATGCACTTAGGAAATGTTATTCTGTAATAGCTTTTGTCCTAAATGTGGTCCAAACTGAAATTGCCATGGTTACCAAACAGATAAAGTTTCTGTAATAATACACCCCCAGTATATTAGAGACATGAGTTGGACTAAGCCAGTGAGTAACAAGCGAACAAAAGTTGCGATCACACAGAATGGTTTATTTTAGGCTGCATAAACTAGGTCAGTCGGAACTGGGAACACTTCCTATAACGCGCAATGTACTCTTTCATCCTAAGAAGAATGGCATCTGCGGTAAAATTAGTCTCTCTGTTTTTTCCAATGTGTACTGTAATCAGCCGAATCCGGGACATATCCAGATCAGATGGTGGACCTGCACCTAGACACGACCACAACGCATGATGTAGTCAGCCAGATCCGGGCCATATCCAGATCAGTTGGAGGACCAGCACCTAGACACGACCTCAACACATCCCTGAAGGGTCAGCAGAGATTGTGTCAACTAGACTCTCCCCTGTGAAGGCCTCATCGACACGACAGCCATCGGCACTGACCCTCAACAAACCCGTCCCCATACCGGCGTGACTCCGAACTGGACAAATATTCTGAATGTTCCGAATCCGATCTGACTTCTGACCTATAATTCTGCCCGATTCATAATCATACACTGTTTGTTCGATGTTAAGAGGAGAATTGGCCCCACGACTGAGCCTGGTTTCTCCATTCTGTCACCTGTTGGAGTTTTCGTTCCTTGCCACCTTTTTAGCTTGCTTGGTTGGGGACACTTAATAGGCAACAATTTTATTGAATCTGTCTGTATTAATACCAATTATATGAGAACTGAACTGAGCTGGACGATGACATCACTGTTTTCTCAAGAGCAACTACAGTATATATATATATATATATATATATATATTTATTAACTAAACTTTAATATCTTGTTTACAACAAAAATTAACCATCACTGAACTTAAGCTCGACTATGACACCATATTTTTCTAGGTCTGCTGTACACAAACAAAACTTTGTTGCAGTATTTTCCTGTTATCACTGTAAAGCTGCTTTGAAACAATCTGTATTGTAAAAAGCGCTACATATATAAAGGTGACTTGAAAACACCTTAACCATACAGCACAGTAATGTCCTTCCGATATGCATCCTTGTTTTCGCATGGGTCCAGTTGCATTCTCTTTTTTCTGTAGCCACTGCGATGTCCGAACAAAGTCTTTTGCATTTAACAGTGGGTGAATCTGTTGTCACTGGTGATTGTCGTTTTAACATTTCTGGATCCGCCATCAAATTAATAAGCTTAATTATATCAAGTGATGTAAGAAAAGGCTATAAATCTCCACCTCCAACATCCTCACACGCAATATAAGCCATGGACTGCAGCTTTTAGAAAATGAAAGTAAATCTAGTTCGTGCAGCACTAATCACAATACATATTGTTTCATAGCAGCTTTAGAAAATAAAGACTAAATGCCATCTGTAAGACAACTGTGGCTTGTGGCAAGCAAAACCTCCCTAAGATGAGGAAGAAACATGATGGAGCGGGGTATTGGCTGTTCTCCAATCTAAAATTGACGGTACTAAAACTGATCACTTTGAATACTTTCAAAGACCTGTCAAAATAACGAGAAGATGAATAATTTTTTATGAGATAAAAAAAGATGAGAGTGAGTGTGTTAAAAGAGGTTTAACAGAAGGGGCTAGTTTTTCTTTTTCATGACATTTCTTCACCTCTCTTCCAAAGCAAAGAAAAAACTCATTTGCTTTCAAGTGGGCTGAATATAAACCTTAGCTTAAGTCCGCCGTCCCACAAGCACTTGAAACACCATGGAATGAGATCAACTTAAAACGGTCCTTCAACTGATTGCGAAGAGGTAAGTAGTTTAAAAATATTTACTTCTTCAGTCTTAATTTTCACTTCAATCTACTGCTTATACACTATACAGCTTTCCAATCATTTCAATAAACAAACCATCTGACGTCAGCAAGCAACGAGGAGCCAATATAAATATCTGCTCCTCCAATGTTCAGTTTAAGAACCCTAATTTCACAAACTCATCCTTCTTGCAATTTCACTGCCCATAACAAAAAAAAACAAAAAAAAAAAAAAAAAATCACAGGAACTGAATGATGAGGTGCCATTTATTTTGGAGGAAGTTTGACCATCTTCAGCCATTTTAAGAAACATGGTCAATTCATGCACAATATTAACCAAATTTCAACAAAACAATCACCTCCTTTTTCTGGATCATTATCCTCTTCAACCTCCTCTTTCTTCACCTCTTCATCATCTTCTGACTCAGTTGTACAGCGGTAGCCCTTCCTCTTCAGGATGTGGCAGATGAGGACTCCCAGAAGTCCCATCAGAAAGAAGAAAGGCACCAGAGCAAAGGCAATATACTCTGGGTTACCCGAGTCCTTATTGCCAGCTGAAAAGAGGAGACAATCAATTAATAAAAAAAGTTTGGTAATGCTTATATATATATATATATATATATGCCTTACTGCATATAACTACTAGGGCTGTTGTTTTAACGTGTTAATTTAATTAATTAGTTATGGCGAAAAATAATGTGTTAAAAATTATTAACACAACCGCCCAAGCAAGTCATCTTACAATTCATACAGTTGATTGGTGACGAACATGAACCAGGGCAACAAACTTATTGTGTAATGGAGCCTGTATAGAATGCAGTTAAAATGGCCCTAAAATTCAAGATATCAGGGAAAAAATGCCCCTGTATGGGTTTTTACGTATATCATTACATAGTTAAGCAATATCACACGAGATTAGTTCTTATTGAATTCCTATATTTATATTGTGTCATATTTTAGACACAACTACTAAATTTTTCCAACAAAAATATTACCTATAAAGAGCATACAGAGCAGAATTGCTCTGAACAACACACAGTGGTGTTTAATTTCTATTAGTCCAAATGCCAGTTGTGTCGTCAGTGAGTTTAAAACTATCAACATCGGAAGACAGCCTTATGTGTACCGGGCCGGCAAAGTGAATTTAATTTTTCAATATTATTAAAAAACCCATTAAAGGTGGTTCACCCCCCAAAATTCTAATGCATTATACATAAACCAAAAGGTCTATATGGAACAAACTGACAGAGATTCGTAAGATTAGATGGATTTTATAGTTTGAGCCATTATATCACCCCACTAAAACAGTTTTTGGGGCTCCGTGTACATATCTTAATTTTTATACATAGTTCCCACAGGCAAATTAATGTCACGTGACCTCCCCGGAGACGCCATCTTTGAGGGCATAAGCTGCTGTGTTTACCATAGGTGTTTACAAAGTTTTATCAGAGAATATCGTTTTACAAACAAATATTTATTTCTGTTTATAATGTTACGCAAATCATGAAGAGATAAAGTGAAATAGATTATAAAGAGACTATTAAAACACAGACTGATCTCATGAAATTGCGTGTGTATGACACGCCAATTCGTATTTCCATTTTTGGAAATGTGTATGAATGAACGCCATTGACTTAACTTTATTACTGTATATATATAAATATATGACCCTACCTCAACCCCGTCCCTAAACGTAACCGTCACTGGGGTTAATGGCATTTATGAGAAAAAAAGATGATGTAGATCTACATTTTGCTTCATTTCGCTTGGACATTTAACGGCGTGTACATACACGCGGAATCACTTGGACATTAATGGCGTAGACATACACGCATATAGCTCAAAATGCGTATAGATAACACGCCACTTGACTTGAAAGTGGCGTGTATGTTTACACAAAAGTCATGATGTTATGTTGTAAAACAAGACAGAGAGAGGTACAATGTAAAAATTTCATTCAGAAATGGTGTGGATCCGTATGCATGCACTACGAAGGAAGCACTAAGCACAGATTATGCAGCTTTGCCTCAGATACAGTATTTTCATGTGTACTACCTTTATCTGGTATTGGCTGGGAGTTTTTCCACATGTGAGCAATTCCAAGCCTGGAAATCACTGGAGGCGTACAATCAGATTGCCGAGGGTTAGTTTGGTGACGTTTGCTCATTTTGCGTCATTTTGTTCATACAGGACATTATTCAAACTGCAAAGTGTTAACTTAGATTTGTTTACACAACACTGTGCTTTTGTCAAACAAATTCTTGCGTGTTTTGAGTGACTTTCTTTCCTATTTATCCTCGCCAGCCATAACCTCCGTCATTGTTCTGACAAAAGCTTAGTCTTCTCACATTCATGGAATCTAATGACGGGTATATGTAAAATCCATATTTAAATGAACCTCCGGCACGATTTTAACATCCATTGACCCAGCAGGAGATGGCCATTTTCACTTTTTAGCATAAAACTCATTTCACTTCGTTTAACTCGTATTGCTTCTTCTAATGTTCTGCCCTCAGCAATGGCGCCAGGTCGGCAAATGCCCGTATGTTGTGACGTCATGTGGGAACTATGTACTAATGTGCCCCTTAAAGTTGACCAAATTTACACTCTTTATGTTCTCTGGGAAAATGAAAAAAAAAAAAATAATAATTACTCATCTTGCACTAAAGGGTGTATACAAATTTGTGTCCAATAACATGCTGGCAAGAATGAGAATGTCCACCCCCCTTATAGCATCTAGGTGTCTTCGACTGGATTTAACCGCTAGCATTCGAGAGGAGTTGAAGACTGCCCACCCACTTTTTCCACATCTTGCTTCCAGAGGATTTTCGCATAGGTTTAGAATGACTCTACCTCATTCACAGTGTGGGAGTAGCTAAAGAATTATTTTGGCGTGATTTGATTGATTGTTTTCGACCCAACTAATCGACAATGTAGTTGATACAGTTCTAGATTAAATTATAACTTCATTCAGTTACTTTACTCTGAAACTTTTGCCATAGAGGAGGAGAGCTAACAGCAGAGTTAGCTCAGCTTATTCAATAAGTGCTGAGAGCTAGTGTCTGCACAGACAGAAAAACACATTACACAGCTCAAAAATAGACAGGCCAAGTGTTTGGTCAGTCAAATAGAGAATGACAGATAGGGCAAGAATGAGTGAAAGCAAAAAAGGCTGCAGAGGGAAAGAATGACCTCGGAGAAGAGCACAGAGGACAGACACTGGCATGGTACCCTGCAGCGAGTGACTCAGGGGATCAGTAATCCCTGTAAATTTCCACTGTACAGTTACACACATTTCATCACTCTCTACATCTTTTACTCATAACCCTTCACGTATTGCTGAAGACATATCATGGTACTCTGATAATCATTTACATGTACCGAAGAATTTACATTTTACTCCTGGGGATTTAAAAAAATACCACAAATTTACCAAGGAACCATGTGATAAAACCAATCGGAACACCTCTGCAACCATACATCATAAACACTCTGGCAATCACCAACAAGCACCATAGGTTTCGAAACTGGCAGTAATGTATATTTTAAGTCACACGTACAAAAGGTGTTTGTTCCTATAGTCTGTCAGTAGTTCTTGAGAAGAATATCGTTTGGTGACAGGAATACAATTTCTCCATTGATCCCATACACAATTATTTTTTTCTTCTCAAAACAACTCCCTCAGTTTCCGAGGACCCGCAAGGTTTCTTTCTCAGTAGCTTACCTTCATAAATTCATAAAAGCGGGAAAAGAAAAAAATAAAAAAATCAAAATGCACACCAACACCTGTCTTTCACCCATTAACTCTTTTACTTGTAAAATGCTACATAAATCTCTCTTTATTCAAGCATGTCTTGAACACCAGAGGTCAAAGAGTTAGATAAACTGTATTTTGGGCATTCCAGTTCATTCCTGCTCAGTCTCTAGGACTGAACTCTGACACCCAACAAGTTATGCGCCAAGCACACATGAAGACAAAGAGCCAATTGTAATGTCTGTTACTGCATGTCTGCATATCACATGCACTGATGCTTGGACTTGCTACAGTTACAGACCGCAGAGGCCTACAATTACTAAGGAAGGAACGTAAACAAGTAATCGACTACTTGACTTGTGCCTTTGTCTGCTGGTAAGAGGTGATATGTTTTTAGGCACAAGTGTACACGTTTCTAGCATGTTGGCAACAGTTCTTCTAACACTAACTAATGGAGTGTGTAGCTTTTCATTAATTTAACAACCATGTTGGAAGAAACAACATGGCCATATTCCAGGATGACAATGTCTAGATTCATAGAGCTAAATTTGTGAATGAATGCACTCTGTAAAGTCTAATCGAGCACCAAAGTCTTTTAATGAATAAACAATATTCTCTTAAAAATGCAAACATGTACATACATGTTTCTCACATATTATGGTAGCCTTGTTTGTGCTAAATAGACTGTAATTTCACCTGTGCCATTGAAATATTTATATGCAACTGAAAAAAGCACAAATGTCACAGCATGTCAAAACATCTCAAGGACCCAAAAAACCCAAGACCCCAGAGGGTTAAGGTCTGGACTCACAGGTGCCAATTCATGTGTGAAAATAATTCTTCATGCTCCCTCCCGAGTCCCTTCCAACCATTCTTTCACAGTTTGAGCTTTCACATTGTCATCCTGGAATATGGCCATGATGTGTCTTCCTACATGGCAAATACACTAGGGGTGGCACGGTACATGAAAAAACACCCGAACCGTTCGGTTCGCTTGTCTTGGTTCAGAGCGTGTGTGCGTCTCACGGTTCGACGCATGCGCAATGTAGCCTCGTGCCCGTATGTGACGTGTGTTTTCTTTTCGCGCGACATAAGCTTGTTCGACTTGCACCGGCGCTGCACAGAGAGACGGGTGAATAACATCAAACTAGTGCGAGAGCGACGGCTCCGTATGCTTTTCAATCACTTTCGCGGTATTTGATGTCATTACCGATCGCTCTGTGCAGCGCCGGTTCAAGTTAGTAAACAAGCCAGTAAAAGTGGAGTATGGAGCGCTGCAGGTCACGGCACGCGGAGAAATGGCAAGTGGGAGAGATGAGGGAGTTGGAGGACGCGCCAGCGTCGTATAAGTCTATGGTATAAGTCCAGTGTGTGGGAACATTTTGGATTTCATGTTATGATATTTTAATATAACGCTACAGTGGCACGTTATGTTTAGATAAGAGCTTCAGTCAAATGTTTCCAAATCCTGCACTTTAATTTCAAGTGAAAAAAAAGTACCCTTACTCTCTGGGAATAGAAGCATTGTTGATGCTGTCTTTTGTGTTGAGGTTGAGCTTATGTTTCACTTTATGTTTAAATTATGGCCTTTGCTATTGCTATAGCTAATTATAGGCAATGAGGTTTCATGTATATTGACTTATTCATAAAAGACAGTGTTTTAAGAGTTACTCTTTTTTTCTTTTAAAAGATAGAATTTTTGTAAGAGCTACAAAAGTTGGCAGTTGATAAATGCAAGTTAATTTCTTTGTGTAAATAAGATTTGTGTGATAAAAATGCACAAGTTCTTGAAGACATAGT